CGCATCTCTGGGGGACTGTTCGGTATGAAGGCGGGATCGTCATTTTGAGGATCCAGAGCTTTGTTTAAGCAACTCAAAACGAGAGTGCAGAATTCAAATCTAGTGTACGAATCTGAGCCGACTAAATACCTCCTTGGATCTGCATATAAGCAACGATCAAAGAAGAGGAATTTGCTGGATGGTGACCCGGAGCTTTCCTGTTGCAATCCGGTGGCCACTGGCCATACTCAGCTGCTTAAATTTAAATCAGTTAACACTAAATAAAGTAAAAAAACAAAAGAAAACAAACCCCCCAAAAACCCAGTTCAGGGGCACTAGCCCCATTGCTGGTCGATTCGGTTATCAAGCGTGTGGACACGAACTTGGAGATTCTATGGTTTTCTCTCTCTGAGGTTGAGATGTTTCTTTGACTTCCTCGCTTGTGTGAGTCTGGGTGGTAAAAGACACTGCCCAGAGGCTTTGGATAGAAATAACTGAAAGAAGAAAAGGAATTGGCCTTTTAAAAAACTCAATGTGTTGGGTTTCAAATGTATTTCGCGTTTGTTATTGGAACTTATTTGGTGTTAACCAAACAACAAAAGAGGCTCCTTCACCTTTTATCACTTTCCTGGTGCATTAATACCTTTTGGGGGATGTCGCCTCTCAATCTCTTGTAACCTCTGCTTCTGGAATACACTTCAGAAACTCAGGAGGCCCGGGTTAGAGGAGAGGAAGTCAAAGGCAGGATCAAAGGGGCAAACAGCTCGGGGCTCCGGGTGGGAGTGGAGCCATCAACTCTCCTTTTCCTGGTTCTCTGGTCAATAAACACCCAGCTCGGAGCGAGGGCCAGGTCTCAGCACAGGTCACAGGTCGGACGCCCGACTTGAACAACAAAGCCGGGAAGAGGGTACTTAGCACTTGGTGAGGAAAGGCAGGTGTCTGTGATGTTTGGGGGAGCGGGGGGCGGGGGGGGGACGGGAGCCCTGCTGGGAAATGTGGAGGATGCAGAGCAGGACCGTCACCCCGAGTGGCTCCCGCCTCCCTACTGGGGCTGCTCCAAAAAATGATACTTTTTTTTTTTTTTTTTAAGCTTGTTGCTTTTTCTACCAAGTCCCTACTGGCCTTCCCGCAGGATACAGGGTGTGTCTCTCTGAGGACTGTCTTCTGGGTCACCTGCTCTCCCTTTCTATCTGTTTCACCAGATGTTACCAACAGAACAAATGCAAATAAGGACCAAAGCCCTGAGCAAGTCAGGTGGTGAGTGAGCGGAGCCCAGGTGTGGACAAGAGTTGCTGATCTCAGTGACCCTTGCCTTCGGCTAACCCTGAACTTCAGTGTGGATTCTGAAACTGGTAACCTGACTAGCTTTGGTACAGGAAAGTACCTTCTGGAGCCTATTAAAAATGTACTTAGCAGGGGCACCTGGGTGGCTCAGATGGTTAAGCGTCTGCCTTCGGCTCAGGTCGTGATCCCGGGGTCCTGGGATCGAGCACCGCATTGGGCTCCCTGCTCAGCGGAGAGCCTGCTTCTCCCTCTCCCTCTGCTGCTCTCTCCGTGCTCATTCTCTCTCTCTCTATCAAAAAAAATAAATACATTTCTTAAAAGCACTTAAATTTCACAGATTGTGTATTTTGGGAAAATAACTTGCCATAATTATTTTTTAAGCTCTTGTCAAGGACCGGGCTCTTTCCGTTTTCCATTTGAGGAAACAGGTATAGAAGAATTCACAAAAATATTTGCTGTAGGCTTGCAGCAGGATAACGGAGTAAGGCATCCAGAACTTGGGTTTTGTGGAAACCACTTATGATTTTAGAGGTGTCTGTCACACCCAAGAGGAGCGGAAAGTACCTGTGATTTTGAGTGAGTGGACACAGGAGAGCTTCCGAAGAGACCTGTGGAAGCTTAGAACTTCCTAACCCGGGTCCGCGTCCACTGCGGACATGGGAATTCCATTCCCAGCAAAGCAGTATCTCTTTCCAGACACATTACTTGCATCCTCTGCCTCAGTGTTGTAACGTTAGTTTTATAAAAACATTCAATTTTAAGTGTTCCCGCTCATGTCCTTTTTTCTTTCCTAAGGACCCAACCCAGGGCGCCTGGCATGCGACTCTTGATCTCCGGGTCGTGAGTTCCAGCCTCACTGGGTGTAGACTTTACTTAAAAAAAAAAAAAAAAAAGATCCAACCCAGAATACCACATTGCACAGAGCCATCAGGCACATGATTTAAAAAAATCATAATAAAGCAGCTCTGGGGAGTGTAAGATAAAGTCTCCCTCTCCAAGCCCTTGCTCGGGATTGCAGTCCTGGGTTTCCGCCGTGGCCCCACCGAGGTGATGCCTTCAGTACACGCAGGCACACACCATGAAAACGTTATTAAGAGCAAAAGGAGTTGAGAGGGGGAAAGGCTGAAATCTTACTCTACTGTGGAGGATTATGATGCCACAAGCTCTCCAGGAAAGTCAGGAAGGATAACGTGTGTTTAGTCGGTCTGCTGGGTGACGTGGCCACACCGAGTGCTGGCATCGCTCACTGCCAGGTCAAAAGCAGCGAAGACCGCCTGTGTAGGCGGCTTCATCAAACCCTCCCCGGTTCCCATGACCAGGCACCTCATTCCTCAGGGCAGGTCCCCCTGCTGGCCTGCCGGGCCCCCGCCGAGGAACGGGGCTGGGATGTAGGGCTGTGTGTGTGTGTGGTGGGGGGGGTGTCCACACAGCCGGAGAATTCCTGTGACTCCTGGCCCTGGGCAGTTTCTGGCTCGCTGGGCTATCTCCGGCTGTTAAACCTCAAGTGGTGGCTAGCAGCCGGGAAACCTCTGCCTCCCTCGGAGGCTGGCCTTCTGGTCCCGGTAGCTCAGCTACAGCTAGGGAACTTGGGTCTGCGTGGATCTGGTTCTATCACCGCTGCCTGCGACTGGGACCCTAATGAGCCCACTGGGCCTGAAAGACAACCAGCAAGAATGGAGGAGACAGGGGTTTTGCCTCCTCCTGAGGGTGCAGGGGAAGTGAGCGGTGAGCACAGGAGTTTCGTCCGAAGGCCGCTTGGCACAGTGGCTCTGACCTCTGGGCCTCGTCTGGATTGTGGAACTATCCCAGACCTGTAAGACTGGGATGAGAGTACCCGCTTCATAGAAACACATGTGTAGCATGGCCTTGCCCACAGAAGCTTCACAGTTTTGGGGCTGGGGGCGCCTGGGTGGCTCAGTGGGTTAAGTGTCTGTCTTTGGCTCAGGTCATGATCTCGGGGTCCTGGGATGGAGCCCTATGTTGGGCTCCTGCTCAGCGGGGAGTCTGCTTCTCCCTCTGCCTCTGCCCCTCTCCCCGCTCATGCTCTCTCTCGTTCTCTGTCTCTCTCAAATAAATAAATGAAGTCTTTAAAAAAAAAAAAGGTTTTTGGGTTAATGAAAGAATGACGGAGCATAGCAAAATAGAGGGTCTGACCTCCCATCCCATATGCCTTCTGCTTGAAGACTCTGATGACCCAGCAAAGGAAGAGAGAGAGGAGGGGGGCAGGAGAGAGAGAGAGAAGGCGTGGGGGTGGAGATGGAGAAGCAGGCTGTCCGGAAGCGCCTCAGGGGTTTGAAACAGTCCCTGACACCCCAGCCACCCACCAGGAGCCAATCAAGCACTGACCTCCTGTCCCCAGCAGGCTTTCTGCTTTGACACCCAGGACGTCCTTCCAGGACAGAAACATCCAAGGCCTTCCTGGGGTGGTCTTACAGTATTCCAGGATGGACAGACAGGCAGGGACACTGCCCTGAAGGACCCTCCCGACAGAGAGCAACCTTGCACCGTCCTGGCCAAGTCGGGGCTCAGGTTCTGGGAGCAGGAAGCCCGGGGCCTCCGACTCCTCTTTTGGGCGGAGCGGTTCCCACACGGGACCCTGCGTTTCTCTCCCCATAAAGTGAATTCAGAGGCACCCAGTGCAAGGGGCGTGCAGGGAAGGTCCGGCACGGTGCCTCACGCACAGTGGATGTCCGGACTTGAAGGAGAAGGAGAAATGGGTGCCTGCGCCCTCAGACCTTACAGTCTAGGAGGGGAGGCAGAGATGCAAACCAGGGCCAGAGCACACGTCAGGACCAAACGGGAACCTGGAATGGGGCCCCCCCGGGGCAGAGGCAGGCCGGCGCGGAGACTTCCCGGGGCCCCGTCCGTCAGACGGCCCGTGAGCATCGCTGGAACCCCCTCGGAAAGGCCCGGGCACGCGTCTGTAAAGGTGGGCGCGCTTTCAGGCCCGCCGCGCTCAGGGGACCCTTGTTCCTCGGCCCGCGGGCATTCCAAAGGGTCCGCGCCTAGCTCCCGGTGAGGCCGCTGCCTCCCTCTGCCGCCCCTTAATCTGCACCCCCTTCCGATTCAGGATGTGCGGCGGCGGCTCGCGGAGGGCAGGGGCCGGGCTGTTTGACCAACCTGGTACCTGGTCTGGCACGTAGCCGGCGGGGGGGGCGGGGTAAGTAAATAGCTCCGAGGACGCGGGCAAGGGTCGCTGCCCCGGCCCGGCGCGCCGCCGAGCGGGAGGCCGGCCCGGGG